CCTTGGTGCATGCGCTCGTAATCTCAAGATTAGACCACTGCAATGCGCTCTACGTGGGGCTCCCTTGAGGCTGTTGCGGAAACTCCAGGTGGTGCAAAATGCAGCAGCCAGACTACTTAGTGGAGTGAAAAAATGCCAGCACATCTCACCCACTCTGGCCGCACTGCATTGGCTGCCCATTTGGTTCCGCATCGACTTCAAAGTGTTGATGCTTACGTACAAAGCCCTAAACGGTTTAGGGCCTTGATACTTGGCGGAACGCCTACTCCCACCAAGAACTACCCATATCACTCAATCAAGTCAGGAGGTGAGGCTGAGGAGCCTGACACCGAGGGAGGCCCGTAAGGAAAAAACAAGAAATCGGGCCTTCTTGGCGGTGGCTCCTCGCCTCTGGAACAACTTTCCTCCAGAGATTCGCGAGGCCCTGTCACTGGGTATTTTTAAGACCCATCTCAAAACTTGGATGTTCAAGCAGGCTTTCCCTCCAGATAACACTTAACCTTTTCTTCTTTAATTTATTTTTTGTTATATTGCCATCTTGAAAATATGTCTACTGCTTATTGTTGGCTGCTTATTGTTATTGTGTATAGTATATTGGTTTTTTGTTATATGTACATTTTATTGTGTTTATATGTCTGGAAGCCACCTAGAGTGGTCATTTTGAACAGATAGGCAGGGTATAAATCAATCAATCAATCAATCAATCAATCAATCAATCAATCAATCAATCAATCAATCATTTATTAGTGGATGCAAAATGAGCTGTTTTTGAGAAGAATTTGTCTTGAGAGTCAAAAACATTCAGCCTTATCTGTATGCTGATTCCATTTGCCATTATCTATGCTGACAATGATTCTAAGTGGAAGCGTGACAACAATTCCCTGTCTTTAGGCATTTGCAGAAGAATGACATTTTTGTGAATAAAGTACTGTTCCATAGAAGAGATTTCTCATCCAAATTTGGCTTGCCAACACAGTGACTTCCCAGCCAGGAATCAAGGAGGGTGCTATGGTACCAAGTATTCAGGCTGTATGACAGCATTCTGTATATCAGTGTAGCTGTGCAAAGGTTACATGTGAAGTCTTTGTATATGCGAGAAAGAGAAAGAAATCGTTTTGGCTTCTGTTTCAGTGTCCAGCAAAACCAGATCCAGATTTAGATAAGTAGCATGCATTTTAAAGTTACTGTTTTATTTAAAATGGGGGGGGAGGAGAATTACATAGGTCCTATGATAAAAAATAATTCCAATAGCTACATACTGTATATATCAAACCATTAAACACGACCAAATACCATCCTGCAATTTATTACTGCAGAAAATAACAAAGACACTCAAGTTGTCATTCTGTTTTAAAATATCTGATTATTTCTTATCCTTATATCTTACCTCGTTCCTGGAGCAGTTATTCTTCTGTATCTTGCCAACCCTACAAGAATTTGATAAAAATATATCCATATTAGTTACATAATTTTACAAGAATGTGTGTGCTATTTATTTTGGTACAGAACCATATCTCCTTGAATTCTTTATTTGCCAGATTCCTTCCTTCCTCCTCTGTATATTGGCTAGTAATTTATTGGTTCAAGTCTATCACTATAAAAGTTTCAGTTCTTCCTTGCCACAGTTTATTACTGGTATCTTTTGGAGACACATGTCTCTTCATGTGTCCTTTATAACATAATTGTATTTTTCTGTAGTCTTTCAATCTTTTCTGTTGTATTCCCATAACTGGCTTGCAAAGTTTTTTTTAAAGAAAGGGTAGATTTGCTCCCACAACTGTGTTCTGTTATTTTTTAAAAAATCACATAGACAGTTGAAAAGAAGATACAGCACATGCAGCTTATGGGCTTTGAAAGCTCTGTGGAACTCTGCTACATTTTTTAAAAGCCCTCATAGCCATTGGTTGAGCATCTGAATTCATGAAATATCTAGTATTCTGGAAATTGCTGCAAAAGACAACAGGGACACATGCTGTGATTGGTCCTCAGGAAACAAGTGATTAGTGCTGTTGAACTGATAAACTGTTAGACAAAGGAGAAAGGATACCAGTAGATTCACTGTTGTTAAATGTTTTTTTAATTGTTTTTAAACTTGATTTTTAAAATCTAAAAATTGTTTAATTGTTTTTCAAATATAATATTTATATAGAGTTTTTAAATATGTTGTATTATCTGTTGTGGACCACCTTGGGTTCCCTGTGGGGAGAAACCCAGCATATACATAAATAATTTAAATAAATAAATAACAAATAGTATGATAACATCACTTGGACTTCAGATATCTTGTTGATTTCCTTCAGTCATCATTACAGTAGATCTGACTCTGTTGAGCAAAGGTGAGGCTTTTAAGTTCAAATCCATGAGCCATCTGTCTTCTCTCCATTCTCCTCAATAACAGGATGGTGGAAATGTGGCTATCCAGAAGTAATTGGACTGTAGAATCCATAAATATTAGCCAACATAGCCAGTGATGAGAGCTTATCAGACAGTATCTGGAGCCCAATTAATTCCTCATATGTGCTGTATAGGGAATGATGCTAGAAGGTGAACAGTCAATTCTAGGTTTTGTTGATACTGTAAAGAAAATAGCTAAGCCTTTCCTCTGATTGAGGACAAGTCTTGGTTTGTCGTGATAGGAATGAACTTCCATAAGCCGTGTACTCACAAATTGCCTTCCTAGAGCTCATTCTTGCTTATTCTCATAATAACAGTAAACCATTATTCACTATGACATCCAACAGTGAAGGAGGATGTGGCCAGCTTGAACCAGGATTGCAATGTCTAATATATTATATGTCCGCTTTGATATGCACTTTCCCAAACATTAATGTTGGTCTTAAAACATGAATTTAAAAAAAAAAACAGAATGAGATGTCTTGTCTATGTTTATATTTGTAAAACAATTGAGCCTACTTTGATTTTGAGTGAAAAGCTAAGTCTATACTGTTGAAATCAACTGTTCCAGCAGCTAGGTCAGCACTGTAATTTTGTATATGCAGAACTATGCATTTTTACCCCTCTTCCAAGGGCTCTGCATATGATTTAGTGTAGCATCTCGAGGCCTCCCTATAAAGCAAAACTGCTAGAATTAAGTATCTACATAATTATCACCCCTGTGATTTAGCTCATGCGCTATAAATTTCTACAGAATTACTCCCATGGAACTTTACTTTATTGACTGAGGGCAGGTTGAACATAAACCTTACAGTATAAATCCCTTGTAACATACAGTGTTCTGTATTACAGGTGGAATGACATAGGAGGATTTGTTGTTCCCACTGGCCGTCTTCAGGTAATGAAATGGAATTGTTTTTTAAACTATTGTTGTTATAGATCATTGAAAGCTATTTAACACTTTTCCTTGACCACGGCTATTGACTGAGGGCAGGTTGAACATAAACCTTACAGTATAAATCCCTTGTAACATACAGTGTTCTGTATTACAGGTGGAATGACATAGGAGGATTTGTTGTTCCCACTGGCCGTCTTCAGGTAATGAAATGGAATTGTTTTTTAAACTATTGTTGTTATAGATCATTGAAAGCTATTTAACACTTTTCCTTGACCACGGCTGAATACTACTAAGTTACTGTTGCATCTAAATTTCTCTAATTTGATATATAGAGGCCTTGTATACATTCCATTTGATGTGGAATTTGGAATAATTTGAGTAGGATGGCCACATGCATATTGCAAAAAGAGAGAGAGGGAGGGAGGGAGAGAGAGGAAATGCATCTCTGTGAAACTCAGCTGAGAACTACCCACAAAACACTTAAGAGTGTTGCTGGCTGGGGAAGGGAAGTAATGACAGACCCGTATATAATTCACATCTTTGACAGAGAGTGGGAAGTAAGATAGAAATGGAGAGAGGAAGAAACACTGATAAGAGCCAGACAGAGAACAGAGCAGGTTGTCTACGACAGTTCCAGCTTCCAGCTGGTTCGCCACAGCAACAAGACCAACCTTGAAGGAACTCTTGGTGTGTGACAGTCTGATAGCTCAGTGCACTACATCCTGTCTTTTAAAATGGAAATCGCCAGTCTAAGACAGATGGCCCTGAGACATAGAGCCTAGCAGTTCAGTAGGGGCCAAAACCAGACCATGAATCAGAATCTGCTATTTAAGGCCCCTATCCCACAATTAAAAAGGGCCTGACTTTGCCCACAACCAGTGCCACTGATAAGGAGTACAGTCATGCTGGGCTGTATCCTGTAAAGGCTTGTGTCTGATGAGTGCTGGATCTCTATCAAAGATTTAGTGGTGATAAGGCCATTCATTCACAAGCCTTTCAGGGAGACACAGATTTTACTCCTGGCCTTAAGGACAAGAGAGGGGGCCCTATGAGGCAAAAATGATTTAGACCATGGAAATGCCTCAGCAGCCAACAGACTGAGCACCACAATAAACCAATCTTAACTTCATAAGCTTTATGATTATAATCAAGATGGAGGCTATTGGTTATAATGTCCATGAGCACAACTCTGTTGTCATGAGGGGAGACACCAACTAGGCACTGAACAGTTTTGTTGGAGCCAGCTTGTTGCCACTGGGAAGCAACACCAAACAATCTGGATTATGTGCAAAAACAGTCTTCTGCTTATGGAACAGATTTTCAGCATGTGAAATTGTTTGCATAAGTTTGCCAAGTGGCAAATGTAAGAGAATTTGCAACAGTGAACAAGGCACACAATTTTTAAGATTATGCTTCTTTAGTGCAGTGGATTGTGATGGACAAAAATTGTAATTATACCCTGAAGATTTGTCATATATTAATAGATTTCAAACTGGTTATAGGCTTTGTATTTTTTTAATTTTCTCCCCTTAGACAGGAGTTCTTCGAACCAATTGCGTTGATTGCTTGGATCGTACTAACACAGCCCAGTTTATGGTGGGGAAATGTGCTTTGGCCTATCAACTTTATTCTTTAGGACTGATTGACAAACCCAATCTGCAGTTTGATACAGATGCTGTTAGGTAAGACACCTAAAAAAGTTAAATCAATTTTTATTTAGTGAGAGTGAACAGTGGTTAATAGAAAGCTACCACTTTCCTTTTTTATTGTTGATACTTTTCCTGTTATTGGTACTTACATATTTATCTGTACTTGTTTATTCTCAACCAGAAAGTCTTCTGAATAAGGTTGCATTGTTAATTAGCTAAAATATATGCGAAAAACCAATTGGAATGAATGCAGTTTATTTACCTTTAATGTAACTAGGTTACATACAATGATTCTTAACTATATATTATATAGTTGTAATGCATTATAATACATATGCAGTTCCAATGTATTATAATGGATGCACAGCATGGTGTAGTGGATAGGACTGTGATTCAAGAGACCTGGTTTCAAATCCCCACTTGACCATGGAAACTCAATGGGGATGTATAGAACTGGTAAAACCACTCCTTAAGTGTCTTACTCACCTTGAACTCCTATTGCAGTTGCTGTAAGTTGGTTACAATTTGATGGCACTTAACAATAGCAAATGTATTATAACGTGTTGTATCTTATAAAATATATTATAGTTATTATACTTTGGATGCTACTGTTGAACAGATGCTGCCTCAATTTCCTTCCAAACTTGCTTCTCTAGGAGCTTGGATACGCAAAAGCTTTTATGAATATAGTTTTAAGTTACCGACAGGTCCATATGGGTCCTTCATACATCCTAATCCTGTGCCTGGAAACAAAATGAATTAGGTCCAAAACTTGTTTAATATGGTGTACATACTGTTGACAGAAATTTATCTACTACTATTTGTATTTTCTTACTACCTTTCAAGGGAAGTTACATATTCATGCATTATGTTATCTAAATAAACTGCAATTAAGGAATGAATACTGTACATTGGTGAATTTCTAGTATAAGGAAGCATAGAAAAATGACTTTAATTTTAAAAGCAAAGCAACGTATGTTGTTTATATACTGCCCCATAACACTTAAAACACTCTGGGCAGTTTACCATTTTGGTTGTGCAGGCTACACATTGCCCCCCCTCCCCCAGTGAGCTGCGTACTTAATTTACTGAAGTCATAAGTGTAGAAGGCTGAGTCAACCTTGACCCAGGTACCTGAGCCTGTCAGATTCGAACTCAGGTCGTGATCAGACTCTTGACTGCAGTACTGCAGTTTAACCACTATACCTTGAGGCTCTTTTAAGTGATGTGATATGGCATTGGTCCCCAACGTTGGGCCTCCAGAAGCCTTCACCACCACCTCTGCTGGCCAGGATTTCTGGGAGTTGAAGTCCAAGAACATCTGGAGGCCCAAGGTTGGGGACCACTGTTATATGGGATTTCACCACACATGCATTCCCCTGAAACATAGAAACTGCTTCATGTTCTGACATATTCCTGTAGGTGCTGGAACTGGTCAGCAGAATGTTGTGTATGAATGCTCATTATGTCTGATGTTCTTACTGATGTTCTGCTTCCTTTAGATTATTTGAAGAATTGTATGAAGATCATGGGGATACACTGTCACTCCAGTATGGTGGTTCTCAACTTGTGCATCGAGTAAAAACATATAGAAAAATCGCTCCTTGGACCCAGCATTCTAAAGATATTATGCAGACTCTTTCCAGATACTACAGTAATGCTTTTTCAGGTAAATTGAATTCTCTTTTTGAGGAAATTGAATTTTTTGTTTGTTTGATTTTTAGAAAAAACATGCTAGCTATAAATCTCTGCATAAACATCGCCCTTGTTGTGTTTTAATAATTTTCGCAGCAGTCAGTCTTGATAAAGACTGCATGGTGTTATTGTATTTTTATGATAAAACTAAAAGTAGGTCAAGCTAGTAGGCTAACAGTGCTTAAGGTTTTTGGGTCAGGCTAAACTTTAAATTCAGTAGGCCAAAGTCTTAGTTAAGGTATAAGAATAACATAAGACAGTGGTTTATCATGATGGGATGGGCCTAGTTAAGCTTCAGGCCTCATGCGCCTCCTTTCTCTTTGTTTCTGTGAGAAGCTGAGATGCCTTTGATTAACTGCAAATTAGCTTGTCCTGTCAGGCAATCTGAATCCTCAAGCCCACCTCCAGTTTAACTCCTAAATTGCTGGGCAACTTCCCTTTGTACTCTTTAAGGAAATAGAAGCAATTCTGTCATGTTTTGCTATGCGTGGTAATCTTAACACACACACCCCGCCGCCCAGCACTTTTTTTTTAAAAAAAGTTAGTACTAGAGACTGGGCTGAACTTTTTCAGTTAAAAAAGTGGATGAAAAATAGTTTGGAGGTGCAGAATGAGTGTGTGAAACCTCCAGGCCTTTGAAAATTGCTTATTCCAATCTACTGAATTACCACATTTTGAACGTTCTGACTTAAAAGGGGGGGGGGAAGACAACTGTGGTAAAGTTCTCCCTTAATAACAAGATCAGACTTTGTTCCCTATGGGCTTCCTGGCCAATTAAAATTATGCCAGACTTTAATAATGTCATGTGTTCTCTGAGCAGAGTGATGTCCTTTACCAGACTTCAGACAGAAGTTCCCAAACCGCAAACCTTCTTGAATGCAGTGGATAGGGTTATACAAAAGAAGTGGAATATAACTGATCATAATTATGAAATTTGTACCTATTGGGCTTTCTGAGAAATACTAAATCAACTTCAAATTAAGCGGGCAGAAGTTTGCTCCCTGCTATTGAAGCAAGTTGCTTTAGAAGGATTTATGACTTTCTAATAAAGGCTCCTGTTCTTCTTCCTCTCCCATCTGGATATCATCATAGCTATATCAGCTTTAGATTGACACCTCTAAACTATGATATTGTGCTGTCTACAAATCACTCTCCCAAGATTCTTCAGCCAATACAGTATTATGTTCTGATTTCCATACATCTTAGCCAAAATCGTGTTTCAGAACTATGTGCACAACATGAGGCTATGTCTATGGTAGTTGTGCTAGTGCTGAAGCAGAAGTGCTGTCTTCTAAGACATTCTGCTCACACATTGAACAGCACATCCCAGTTTCATGCTGCTGGATGTAATGTCCAGCACAATTATGCCAGCATTAGTTTACATTACACCAGCTTGAACAGGATTTTGCTCCTTTTCACATTGATTTTATTTTTAATTATCATCTGTAGCAATCAGTATCCTTCATTTCTTATTATGTGGTCTTATTATGAAGTCCCTCTTTCAGCTTTTCATGCTCAGAATCCTCTTACTGATTTTATACTTATGTAAGGGAAAACACTTAAACGTTGTTGATTGTTGCTCAGCTGAATGTCCAGAAACACAACTAGTACCTCATTAAAGAGTGTCAGTATGCTGCCAAGACTTACACAATTTCCTCTATGCGAACATAAAACAGCAAGAGGATCCTGTTGTATGTGTTTCATGATTTTATGGTCTTTATTCATTTGGTTCTGTATTCCTTTGTTGGTAAAACTGGCTCTCCTCCCAAGTTGGATACTAAAAAATGACAGGGGCCAAGCCAAGGAAAGTAGGGATGTTCATTCAGATTCAGAAATATTTGGAATTCTCTGAGTAATGCCATATTCAGATATGTTCGAATATATCCAAATTTGAATTTGATAGTTTTGAATATCTGTAATAATACTTCATAATATTCAGAGTCCTATTTATTCCTATAGATTAGAAAGTAGATGACTCGATTTCTGGTTGCTAGACGAAGTGAAAATGAAACTTGTTTCTCTGGCATCCTCGGGTGATTTCTTGAGAAATGAAATTTATGGACATTCTTGTACCAAAGGTAGTGAGGGCAGAGAACTCTGTGTTTCCTGATTGGGGTTTCCCAAGGGAGGGAGCTGGAGTGAGAACAAAACCTGTACATGATGTCTGTCTGCACTAATGAAATCTAGAAGCAAGCACAAACACCAGAAAGTATTTTTTCACATTGGTTCTTTCCAGTTGAAAGATGGGCATGGCTGCTTATAAATTCCCTGAACATTTGCTGTTACGATATACTTTGGTGCAAGCCTGCACTGTATCAGTTTTCTCTGTCCTTTTCTGAACCTTCAGCTTACATCAACAATCTCTACATCTCATTGTCTATTTTTCATTTATGAACAAACTGCTGGATATCTCAGTGGTTAGGGAGGTTAGAAGTTCGTTTCTGCACTATGCCTTCCTGATGGGCTGGATTTGATGATCCACAGAGTAAATTCCAGTTCTGCAGTTCTAAGGTGATGATAATGATAAGATTTAGGATTAGTAGATTCATAAGCTACTATGTTATAAATCAACAGGGAAATATTATATTAGGTTTAGCCCCCCCCCTTTGGGGTATAATAGACAGGGAAATAAGATTTTGTTATATAGAAACAGATATATTGAGTTAATAGATTTGTGTGTGTGTGTGATTTTCATTGGAAGGGTTTGTGTTCTGCAGAAGTAGATACTGTTCTCTTCTGGGTAGAGACTGCAGGCTGTAGGAAACGGATGTGGCAGAAGAAGTAGGCACTTGAGGAAGGCTGCATGAATTCTGCCTGCACCCACTGCAGCGGCTTTTACAGAGAGATGTGGGTGGGAGAGAGGAAAAAGACAGCTTGCAACTGCTGTTATGAGCCACCCAAACAAAATATTTTAGCCCACTGCTTTGTTCAGCACTGACACTGTGAAAGAGCAGCAGACAGCAGTACTGTGTGTATACATCTGTCAAGGAGGTGGCAGAGAAGCCTCTGTTCAAGATGAGACGGATAGAAGTGAATCTCAGACATGTTCCAGTGACTTTGTGCAATCCAGGGAAAGGAGCCAAAAAAGATGTGAAAAAGGCACTTTTCTCCCAAAGGGCCGATGTGCCAGAGAGGAACAAGAATGGCATCAGCACCCAAAATGAAAATATCACATTGTTGAATGTGGCTGTGATGGAGAGCAGCCATACAGCTCACAACATTCAAGAGACTCTGAGGGACATGCTGCAGCATTGGAGTCTAGCTGCCGAAAGGCAAGGTCTACTTGTCACAAACAATGGGGCAAAATGGTGGCAGAACTGCAGGCTGGGAAGATGAAATGGATGTGGAGTATGCCCCCTCCAAAAAAGAACTACACAAAAAAACAGTCAAAATAGGTGCATTGCAGTTGCCACTTATTTCTGCACATCTTGACCATCTTAAAGGACAGACTGTTATTTTTTGTGTAGTTCTTTTCAGAGAACTGTCTTTTTCAGATAGGTAACAGGATACAACATTCTGCTGAAAGGATAATCTTTCTGATATACATGATAAATACAATTTCACTCATCAATTATATTGGAAAAGCCATTCTAAAGTGGTATTTCTGGGCTGAATAGGAAGGGTAATGATCAACTGCAGGCTTAAATGTTGTTGAAGTACATTTCTTGTTACAGATTTCTGGGCTCTAAAACAGTCTATTTATCCAGAAACAGGACTAGACAGTCAATTTCCCTTTAACTGGTATATGGGAAAATAATCTGATTATGCCGTCCTGTTAATCATGGTGCACTACATCCTAGTCACACTAAGTCTGGTACTTTGGGTTTTTTGTTGTTTGAGGGCAGTGAAGTGTTTAGACTAATTCAATTACTTTGCCTCATTAGCTCCTGGTGATGTCTCTTTCCACAAACAGCATACAAAAATTGTGCTATAGCACACGTAGGTACAATAATCTTTTTTAAAGGCCTGTGCAGGATTTTCTTAATTGTAGTGCTTGCTTTCAGCATGCACTAGAGAATGCAAAAGGGTAAAAGATGCTATGGTTTTCATCAGTCTTTCATTTTGTACTATTTAGTTTTACTGAAATAATCATCTTTAAAACAAGCAGATTATTGAATTTGTCTGTTCCTAATAATTCAGGTACTTATTTTCATATCTGACAGATAACATTTATCCTTAAAGCTACACAACTGTGATACTCTCTAATTTTATTGTTATGTGCCATCAAGTTGCTTGCAACTTAAAGCAACCCTGTTAATAGGTGACATCCGAAAGTCCTTTCATTAATAGGAGTGCTCATCTCTTGCAAACTCAGTGCCATGGCTTCTTCTGTTGATTGGACCCATTCCTTATTTTCTCTTTTCCTGCTACACGCCACTTCTCCAAGCATTTTTTTTCTTGTCGCCTTGTGATGTGCCCAAATTACAGTAGCCTTAGCTTCATATTTACTTCTACGGAGTTTCCAGGCTAGGTTTGATCTAGCAGCTACTTATTCGTCCTTTTGCTTATCCCTAATATCCATATAGCAGTCCTCCGAGACTACATTTCAGATGAGTTGGATTTTTGCAGCTTTCTCAACAGTCCAGTTTTCACATCCATACAAAGAATCTGGAATACCATAGTGTAAAACTTTTTTAGCCTCTAACAACATATGCTTACACTTGAGAATCTTTCAGTACCTACTATTCCAAGTCCAATTTCTTGGCTGCATCCTTCATTTTAGTTTTGGACTGCAGCTTGGCTGATGCTTGTTTCCTCTTTGCTTACTTCCAGTTCATTTTAAATTGGATTGAATGTTTTTATAAACATGCGACATATCATGGTATATCACATTCTTTATGCTAATTTTATGGATTCATTTAGGGCTGGTGTCCATTTAACGGGGGAGGTAGCTGTCCAAATGCAGAAATAATTCCAAGGAGGTCCCAAAAAAGTTATTCACCCTTAGAAACTTCCTTGATGCATTGATGAAAGTTTCTACCACATACCTCCTCTGCCCTCCTCTGATGGGGATAGTGAGAAGAGGAGGGATGTATGTCACACTGTATCAAGACCTTATAATCTTAGACCTGCAGAAGTAGAAGGATCCCTATGGATCATCACGTCCAGCCCTTGTCAGGGGAAGCACAATGAAGAATTGAACTCCGTTGAGTTATCCAGCAGTTAGATCCCTTGAATTATAAATTCTCATTCTCTCCCATATTCCCAATAAAACTGGCAAAAAGAAGTCATTTCTGGAGCTAAGTAATTACTTTCTTTTGCATTTCCATTCCCAGAATCATCTCTTCTTTCCCCATCCCTTCACCTGATCTAATCTACTAGATCTAAGCCCCTTCAGATGCTTTAGACTACAACTCCCATAATCCCTGGGTATTGATTCCAAGTTACATACCTCTGTTCTAGATGATAAAAAAGACTGAAGAGTGTGAGTGCAAATTAATCAACAAAATTATGATTCTATCCTCTAGATGCAGACAGGCAAGATTCAATCAATCTGTTCCTGGGCGTTTTTCAACCTGAGGAAGGGAAACCTCATCTTTGGGAGCTTCCTACAGATTTTTATTTGCATCAGAAGGACACAATGAGTCTTCTTCAGCCACGGCGAAGGTACTTCGCAGGAATACAAATGTATAGATATTTTACTAGTTTAGGAATCATCTTTATTAGCTTCAACTATAATTTGAACTTTTTAAATATAACACCTTCATCTCCCTTTCAGGAGGGCCTATAAATAAATGGTGGGAACCTATCAGAATTTGATGGAAAAATAGGGTAGGTGGGGGTAAAGAATGCAGCCGGTTAACCTTCTTTTTAAAAACCTATCTAGGTACCTGTCTCAGTGTACTGAACAAAGAGCAAATGTCCTTCAGAAATATGACTTGGTTACTTAAAGCATTTCTAGGCCACTCTTACAGAGAGCTCAGAGCAGCTTACGTAAGGTAAAAAGGCATCAGAACTAAAAACAAAATCACACAATAGCCAGTAAAACAGCCAGTATGTTGTCCACATAAATCAGCTGAACGCACCATGAAAATTTAAAAGGAGGTTGAGGCTCTTACAGCAACAAGAGTCATCTCTAGTAAACAGACTACGCCAACACAAAGGGGCTACTCAATAAAAGCCATACTTCTACTGTGTTTCCCTGAAAATAAGACAGGGTCTTATATTAATTTTTGCTCCAAAAATGCATTAGGGCTTATTTTCAGGGGATGTTTTATGTTTTTCATGTACAACAATCTACGTTTATTCAAATACAGTCATGTCATCTTGTGGTTGCTGCACGGTGGTGGAGGCTGGGGTTTCACTTAACTAGGGCTTACTTTTGGCTTATATTAGGAGCATCCTAAAAAATCATACTAGGGCTTATTCTCAGGTTAGGGCTTATTTTCGGGGAAACAGTAGCTGTCACTTTTCTAAATGGGTGTAAAGAAGGTGTATTGTGGGGGGCCTGATTTCCTCACTGCAGGAAGCATAAAAGGATACTCTCAGAACGGCTGCCCGTAAGGGTCCCAGGCCTTGCAAAGCTCTAAACATTAGAAAAGAAAAAACAAGAAGGCAACAGAAGGAAGAAGACTCCAAATATATAAAAATGTGTTGATAATGGATTTTGAATGCATTTGTTTGTTAGATAGTATTTTTGCAGCAGTAGAGAAAACACTCAAGTTGGTTGTGCCTTGCAGTGTCATGGGTTTTTTGGGCTCTTGGCGGAGTTCTGAAGGTTGTTCTTCCTGACGTTTTGCCAGTCTCTGTGGCCAAACACCTTCATGAGATAGGAGCTGGACGTCAA